CCCTTAGGTAACAGTGCCCTAGTTTAAGTTGGTAGAAAGCGCTAGAAATCTCTCTTCTAGTATTGCTAGGAATAGCGATTTGCTTTCTTATCTTCCACTTGTATTTTGCTGCGTACGTATGTGGATTCTTGCTAGTGGCTTTTTTCCTATACTGTTCAAGTTGGCTTAGCCATTCTCTCTCTCCTAGCTGCTTAATTCGTGAGCTAGTAATAGCTAGGCTAGTTTTGCTAGTAGAAGGAGGGTCTAGCTCAGTAGCTTCTTTAGCTAGGGCGTCTGCTGCTGCTATGCTATTATTCTGGCTACATTATAGGGGCTTAGGCCACGCCTTAGTTGTATATTGAGTCACTAAAGCAGCTATGAGCACGCGTCAAGAGATTTAGCTGTACCTACTGTCTTATATATAAGAATTAGGCACTTTACCCCCTCTTTCACAAGCTTGATATCAGCTTGAAGGAAATAATACAACTACAACCATTGTCAGAGAGATCTACTGTTTTACTTGTGATGAAATACCGGCTGTGTGGGGTTATGAATGTAGATGTAGTTTCTTACTAACATGAAAAAGAGGTACTGGCTGATGTGGCCGTTTTGGCCATCGCCATTTGACGAGGCGGCTTACCGCAACTAATTTGAGATACAGCTTCCTAATATCGAAGTAGAGCTTTGTAGAGTTGACGGGCGTGAACTTTATCTTATAGTTCAAGCCCTTTATTAAAATTTTGAATCAAATCGGCACTGTGCTGGACGCAGAGTAGAAGCGTATGCTGAGAATACGAACGCTTGTTTCCATAAGATATGCAGGGTACAATTGGTTGTGCTTGACAATGAGTGCTCCAGATGGTGATGACAAAGGAAGGCCGATCCGATACCATCGCGGAAGAACACGCTAGGCCACTAGCGCGCTCCACCTGCCCTTTGGTGAGCAAGCAGCCGCGCATGCACCGACACGGCTATCATTGCCGTACCACAGCCCAAGACCGTGATGAAGCTGATATATCGTGTTGCGCATATTTCGCTCGTTGTCTGCCTTTCTGCCCTTCTCATCTACAGCGTCTACTATGCCTTTGCTCTGCTCATCGAAGACCGCCGGCCCCACTTGCCGCCTGTCGACGAGGAGCCTGCCGGTCCACGCAAACCTTCACCACAGGATACTGTAAGTTCCCCTGAAGAGTTGCGATCGTGCGCATATGGATTCAAGGAGGTTAATGGATACAGGCCAGGTTCATGAACACGATGTGGAGTTATCTAGAAGACTGGGACGAAGAGCCCTGCATACACGTGTGCTCGGCGTCTTGGGCTGCTTGTCGGCTGAGGCACTGCGATGTCCTGCCGCATCTTCACAGGCAAGATTGATAATGGCTACCTGGCTTATTCGAATTTTGTTTCCTGTGCAGGGTGGCTTGGACGTCAAAATGGACTGCTCATGCCAGGCCAAACACTATCCGTCACTCTGGCCCACGCCGACTTCCTGTTATGGCAGCAGGTAATCCACGACAATTTGACCCAGAGATCAGAAGAGTTTTTATCAAGCCCTGGGTCTGGCTGCAACTTGGTGGATCAATCAAACCAACCATTCTCAGCGACATGGCGGATTTCGAAGGCGAGACTGACTCTCAATCCTTGCATGCCAATATTGACCAGTGCCAATGGAGACAAAAAACGACCTCGAAATAATGCACTCGTATGAAAAAGTGGTGTTTCATATCAGTGATATATTTGTAGGTGTGGTGGGTGTCTCCACAGGCTTCAATGAATCACATACGCAATATTGGAGGCGATCCCGATAGTCCAGCATTCTGGGGAAAATAGCAAGGGGCTGCGTATCTATTGTTCTTATTGCCGACATATATGGGGCAAGTGGAACAGGTGAGAGAATACAATCTTATCAATCACGCTAATCCCACCGCTGATAACCCTAATAGAACAAGTTCAGCCCCGTTATTCAGCCTAGAGTCAGTAAAAGAACAATGTACAACCTTTCCACTCTTCGGAATCCCCCCACTCTTCACAACTCAATCCCAATGCACTCTACCATTCACTGTCGGATTCTCATCCAACCACCGCCTGACCTCTCCCCCATCCACCACCAACCCAGGATGCTCCTTTAGCACCTCGATCAGTACATCTCTAACCCCCACATCTCCATCCGGCGTAGCCGTAAACGTCTCATCCAGCACATCCGCCAACCGCAGTCTCTGATCCTGCCAATACACATGCAGCACATCGAGCACACCCTGGCGCGCATACTCTTTAAGACCAAACATATCAAAGTAGTCGGCCACGGTGTAAATCCGCACATGCAGCAGCAAATGCCCCGGCGCAAGCACCTTTCCCGCACAAGGACACGCCCGCTTGAAAATGCGAGAACCACGCACACTTGAACCCCTGCTACACAGTGCTAAACTGCCGTGACTGCAGAAGTACCACTCGCCTTTCGGAATGGCGATGCCCCCAGGAAGCGCATATGCCCCCGTGTACATGTACTCGAGAATGTGCCGCATGCTCAGGGCATCGACGTCTGCGACATCTACTTGTCTGTTTGTAGCCTCCTGTATTGCATCGCGTTTAGAGCGGTGAAAAAGAAATAAGGAAAGGAAAGGGGGAAACGCACACTGCCGCTGAACCGAAACATACGCTCGAAATACGGAGACGAGGCTGACAGAACCGCCTTGTGTGCCATGAACCGCGTTCCCCCGCACACGATGGCAAAGTCAGCTGTCTCATCTCCGAGTACGAGTCTTGTTTCTCTCGTCTTGGGTTTGCTGGGCGTAGGCGGTGGAATCGAGGTAGCCGGACGCGCGGGCGACGCCCTGCAGTGCGGCGTTGTGGGTTCTGCTAGAGATTTCTCGGTCGCCGACTGCATAGTTTCTGAGTCTCTGGTTTCGGCCTCGAGGACTGGTCCAGCCCAGGTACTGCTCAAATGTAATGCTGGATGCGTAATGTGACTTGAAGATAGTTCTTTTACTAAATAGTATAGAGCCGGATCAAGGTGCGAGGATATGTGCACACCGTACAAGTCATGATGCGGCAAACATTTTCTCAACGTAGTTTGCCGCGCCCAGGTGCGGCAGGCAGCCGCTATGGTCCGTGCTGGGAGTGGTGAATGCAACGACGCTGGTCCCGCGTCGGATCAGCCATATACCAGCGCATGGGGCCAGCATTTGAGTTTCATCTTAATTGCTATTGCAGTTAGATTGGAATAGATGCATCGTTTAGCATGGACCACGTTACTTCTTCGATGTGTGCTAAGTCCCAATCTCACGCTGCTGCCTATTCTCGTGCATAAGGCAAAGGAGCAATGTGATTGGCCGACTGCTGACGTCACGTGCAACGGACCTAAACCATCTCAACACCATGTCCAATGCACATCACACAGAAAGCCAAGGAAGATATTCTGACTAAACGAACGAACAACTTTTATTATTAAAACCGCTACCGTGTCTATAAGAAACCGCACACACAATCAGGAAGAGATATGTATGGCGTAATGAGTGACGATAAGAAAATAGTCGTTAGGCAACTAGTCCAAATGTCGTCCTAGCAGATTGATTTGGAGAGCCGAAAGCATCTTGGCTATCTCAGCGTGGGCCGAGAACGAGACTGCAGTGCTCACAAAGTCATGGTAGAGACGAGAGGGGTTTACGGGAACCCGAGGGGGCCGAGAAGAGGAAGGCCCGAAGTCGGGAGAATGGGAATGAGAGACGGGCACGAGCTGAGGAAGACGGTGTTCGTGAACGTTGTGGGCTGGTTTACAACGCTGGTGATAGTGGCTGAGGCTGAAGTGAAGAGAACAGAGGTCGAGGTGCCGCTGATTGGGGTTGAGGTGCTATTTCAAGTCAGTAAATATGTTCATATAGCGTCCAGCACAAAAGCAATGGGAAGGACTGACACAGGAGCCAACACGGTCACAGTGGAGGTTTGCGTAGCCGTGAGGCGGTCTTGGGTGAAAGTGAAGTCGGGGCCAAAGGGTCCAGCGCGCTTACCAAGCTGTTGCTTAGGAGGCAACTTCACAACGCGCTTGCGTTTGATGTTGAGCCTCGTGCATCCTGAAATCTTGCGAGCACCGTTGGTTTCGACGTTGACCAGGGCGTTGCCAGCGGCGAACTTCATGTAGCAGGGGCGAGGACCCGTTCCGGTTCCGATGACAAAAGATGTCGCAACACAGGTTGCCGTCTTGTCGCATGCCAGGAGACACTTTTCGTACGAGTCCACGTACACGAGGCCGTTGTTCACTAAGGCACATGTCAGAGAGAAATAGCAGCACTGGTTAAGGATTACTCACAATCGTTGCCATAGCGGTCCGAGGCGCATTCAACCACATATTTGGCTCCACACGTGGTAGTAACAACGTTTCCATTGTCTGCAGGGCATGTAACCGGGGTGGCGGTGGGGAACGCGGTAGGCGTGCAAGCACACTGGTACTGGGTGTTGGAGATTGTAGTTGTCACCGTCACGGTTGGCCCTGAACCAGCAGATGTAGGCAAAACCTTGACTAGCTTGCCAGCGATGATGTTGCTTGCAGTGACCTTGCCACTACCGGTACCGCTCTTCAGATAGCAGGGACCGCTGATGATATAGCTGACAGCTTTGCAGTTAGTCGTCTTAGCGCAGTCAGCCAAGCAGCCCTCGTAAGAGTCGGGCATCGTCGGGCTGAATGGTCCTGGAAGGTCATTGTCGATGTAGTCAGTGCTGCAATGAACCATATACTGGTTACCAGAAACGGTAACGAGGGTTTTGTCGGAGGCAGGGCAGGACACACGAGTAGGTGCTGGAGCGGCTGTAGTAACCATCGTGGTGGGAACGGCATTCGATGTCGCAAGTGAAGGTGGTAGCAGAACACTAGCCAGCCTTGCTGCCCAGACATTGTTGTTGGCATAGGGCGTGCCGAGACCAGACTTCAGATAGCATGGACCGTTTGGTAGATACGAGACCGCCTGACACTCAGCGTTGGCCGCACAAGCCTGGATACATTGTCCAAAGTTTGTAGGATTGTTGGGCGCAATGCCAATGTCAAAGTCGAAGCGATCAATGGAACACTCAATGATAAAGTTACCAGCGGAAGTAACGTACGTTTGGCCATCGCTCCAAGGACACATGGCCCTGGGTGTGGGCGCTGCCGATGTAGTTGGCACGGAAGCGATAACGCTGATACTTGGCAGAGAGGTAGATACAGGTGGAACCGAGATCGATGGGATGGCCGAACTGAGGGATGGAACAGAAACCGGCACAGACAAGACCGAGCTGACGAGCGATGTAACGGGGACCGAAACCGACACAACCGAGCTGAGAGAAGTAATTGGCAGAGACATGATTGAGCTTGGTATCGAGATCAGCGAGGTTGGAACTGGGAGAGAGGTTGGTACGGAGATCAGGGAAGTTAGAACCGGAATAGATGTAGGCACTGAAACCAGCGAGGTGGGAACTGAAACCAGCGAGGTAGGAACTGGAAGAGAAGTTGGCACTGAGATCAAAGACGTCAGTACCGGGATATATGTAGGCGCTGAAACCAACGAAGTAGGAACAGAGATGATCGAGGTTGGTACCGGGATGGATGTCGGCAGTGAGATGAGTGAGGTTGGGATCCCGACGATTGAGGTTGGTACGCTGATAACCGAAGAAGGAATCGAAACCGAAACTGAAGGAACAGATATACTGAGAGAAGGGATATCTGTAGGATTAATGATTGGAACGAGAGACGAGGGTACAGGCACGGAAATCGTTGGTAAAGCCGTGATGATGGATGTTGGGATAAGTGACGAGACAATGGATGGGTCAAGCGACGGAATGACCGACGTTAGACCGGAGGGAATAAATGAAGTCGGTATAACTGTAGGCAAAGTTGGTATCAGAGAAGTGCTGATAGATGGGATAGCAGTGGGAATGCCGGTTGGTATGACCGATGAGATTCCTGATGGGATCACAGAGGTAAGGCCTGATGGAATCACAGAGGTAAGACCAGATGGAACCACAGAGGTAAGACCAGATGGAACCACAGAAGTGAGGCCTGATGGGATAACAGAGGTAAGACCTGATGGGATCACAGAAGTGAGGCCAGATGGAATAACAGAGGTAATACCAGACGGGATAGCAGAGGTAATACCAGATGGGACCACAGAGGTAAGACCCGAGGGAACAACAGAGGTAAGACCAGATGGAACCACAGAAGTAAGGCCAGATGGGATAGCAGAGGTAAGACCTGATGGTACCACAGAGGCGATAACTGATGGGACCACAGAGACGATACCTGTCGGGATAGCCGATGTAAGACCTGATGGAACAATAGAGGTGAGCCCAGATGGGATAACCGAGGCGATGTCTGTTGGTATGGCCGATGGGATCACAGATGTAATTCCTGTTGGGATCACTGATACGATACCTGATGGTACAATCGAAGTAAGGCCAGTTGGGATAACCGACGGGACACTCGAAGTAAGGCCTGTTGGGATAACCGACGGAACAATCGAGGTAAGGCCAGTTGGGATGACTGATGGGACAATCGAGGTAAGATCTGTGGGGATAACTGACGGGACAATCGAGGTAAGACCAGTTGGGATAACCGACGGGATAAGAGAGTCTATAACAGAGGGTATAACCGAGACAATGCCTGTTGGGATAGCTGATGGAACAAGAGAGCCAAGGTCTGTCGGGATGCCTGTCGGGATAAGGGATACTATGTCAGATGGGAGAACAGAGACTACACCCGATGGGATAATCGAGGTAAGGCCTGTTGGAATAACCGACGGGATGATAGAGCCGAGGTCTGTTGGGATAGCTGATGGGATAAGAGAGGCAAGATCTGTTGGAATAACTGATGGGATAATAGAGACAATGTTTGTCGGGATGCCTGTCGGGATGATGGAGCCAAGGTCTGTCGGGATAGCTGATGGAATAATAGAAGCAAGGTCTGTTGGAATAACCGATGAGATAACAGATGCTATGTCAGAGGGGAGGATAGAGACAATGCCTGTTGGAATAACGGAGGCAATATCTGTAGGGATAGCCGACGGGACAATCGAGGCGAGGTCTGTGGGAAGGACAGAGACAATGCCTGTTGGAATGTCCGTTGGGATACCAGATGGGATGAGCGATGTGATATCTGTCGGGAGAGGTGGTAACAGAGGTGATAAGATTGATGAGATAGCCGGAATTGGATTGGGTAGAAGGGATGTTGGGAGAGCATCTAGAAGGGGGACAGACGGCAAATTTGTAGTCAGAGATGGGATCAATGCGGTGACTTCGGGAATCGGCACTGGAAGAAGAGATGATGGATCAGGGAGAAGAGAGGGGCCTAGGAGATCCGTGGGATTAGGAAGTGGGACTGGGATAAGAGACGTTCCAGGTAAGCCAGTGAGAAGATCCGTGGGACCAGGAATGGGTACAGGGATTAGAGAAGTCACAGCTAGAGGGTCATTGAGAAGATCCGTGGGTGCGGGGATCAGAGAGGGATCTAGAATCGTACTAAGAAGACCTGTGACATCAGGAATAGAGACAGGGATTAGAGAAGTCCCAGGTATGCCGCTGAGAAGGTCCGTGGGGTTAGGCAGTGGGACCGGGATCAGAGAGGTCACTGGGAGAAGTGAGGGGCCGAGAAGATCCGTAGGGTCAGGGAGTGGGGCCTGGATTAGTGAGGTTACAGCGAGCGGGTCATTAAGAATATTCGTTGGTGCAGGAACCGGGACCAGAGAAGTTACAGCGAGCGGGTCACTAAGAATATCCGTAGGCAGCGGGACAGGGATTAGAGAAGTTACAGCGAGCGGATCATTGATAATATCCGTAGGCACTGGAACAGGAACCAGAGAAGTTACAGCGAGCGGGTCATTCAGAAGAGAAGACACTTCTGGAATAGGAGCTGGAAGCAGGGAGGTTCCAGGTATGCCGCTAAGAATGTCCGTGGGGTCGGGCAGTGGAACTGGAATTAGGGAAGTCCCAGGTATGCCGCTGAGGATATCTGTTAGTGCAGGAACGGGAACAGGCACCAGTGAAGTTACAGCAAGAGGGTCGTTCAGAATGTCTGTGGGCGCGGGAACTGAAACCAGAGAAGTCACACCGAGCGGATCATTGAGAATATCCGTTGGCGCAGGGATTGAGACCAGAGAAGTTACCGCGAGAGGGTCACTGAGAATATCTGTGGGAGCGGGAACTGGAACAGGGATCAGAGAAGTCACAGCGAGCGGGTCGCTGAGAATATCCGTTAATGCAGGGACAGGTACTGGTACCAGAGAAGTTACAGCGAGAGGGTCGTTCAGAATCTCTGTGGGCGCGGGAATCGGGACCAGAGAAGTTACCGCGAGCGGGTCACTGAGAATATCTGTGGGTGCAGGAATTGGAACTGGTACTAGAGAGGTTACCGCAAGAGGATCGCTGAGAATATCCGTTGGCGCAGGAATGGAAACAGGGATTAGGGAACCGAGAGGATCACTGAGAATATCCGTGGGAGCAGGGACAGGAACCGGGACTAGAGAAGTCACCGCAAGAGGATCGCTGAGAATATCCGTTGGTGCAGCAAGAAGAGAAGTCACCGCAAGAGGGTCACTGAGAATGTCGGTTGGGGCCGGAATAGAAACAGGGATTAGAGAACCAAGCGGGTCGTTGATAATGTCTGTTGGTGCAGCAATGAGAGAAGTCACCGCAAGAGGGTCACTGAGAATGTCTGTAGGCGCAGGGACGGGAACTGGGACAAGAGAAGTTACCGCAAGAGGATCACTGAGAATATCCGTTGGGGCCGGAACAGGAACAGGTACCAAAGAAGTCGCCGCAAGGGGGTCGCTGAGGATATCCGTGGGCGCAGGAATCAAAGATGTTACAGCAAGAGGGTCGCTGAGGATATCCGTGGGCGCTGGAACGGGGACAGGGACCAGAGACGTTACAGCAAGGGGATCAGTGAGAACGTCCGTGACCGCAGGGATCAGATGAGTCGCAGCGAACGGGTCCTGTAAGTTGTCGACGATAGATGGAATGATTGTCGCAAGATCAGTTGGAAGTATAGGGAGCGACGATACCAAAGGTAAGTTGTCGACGATAGGTGGAAGGATCGAAAGAATACTCGGTGGAGCCAATGGCACGGATGTTTGCAAGGGTAAGCTGTCAGTGAAAGCTGGAATGATCGAGCCAATATCGGATGGCGCCAATGGCAATGATGATACCAGTGGAATTTCGGATACAACAGGTAGGTCTGATACTACTGGCAAGTCGGACACTACTGGCAAGTCAGATACGACAGGGATCGATGACACCAATGGTAAGTTGTCGAGGAGAGATGGAAGGATCGTAGCAACATCCGATGGAAGCACTGTCAGAGATGTGTCCAAGGGCAAGCCAGTGATGTCTCCGATGATGGAAACAATATCAGATGGCGCTGTTGGTATACCTGTGATTCCTGGGATGGCTGAAACAATATCAGATGGTGCCAATGGTATTGATGAGACCAATGGAAGGTCGGAAACAACGGGTAGATCAGACACAACGGGTAGGTCAGACACAACAGGCAGGTCTGATACCACAGGAAGGTCTGATACCAATGGAAGGTCTGATACCAGCGGAAGATCGGTTACAGCAGGTATAGACGGCCCTAGTTCTATCGCTGAGGTGATGTCTGGAATGACCGAAACAAGATCGCTTGGCGCCAATGGTATAGACGAAACCAATGGAAGATCGGACACAACAGGTAGGTCGGACACAATAGGTAGATCAGACACAACAGGTAGATCTGATACCGCAGGGATCGACGAAACCAAGGGTAAGTTGTCAATGACGGATGGAACGACCGAAGCAATATCAGATGGAACCACAGGCAGGTCTGATAACACAGGCAGGTCTGATACCACAGGCAGGTCTGATACCAATGGAAGATCGGTTATAGCAGGTATAGACGGCCCTAACTCTATCGCTGAGGTGACGTCTGGGATAACCGAGATAAGATCAGAGGGTGCCAATGGTATTGACGACACTAATGGAAGATCGGACACAACAGGTAGGTCTGATACCACTGGGAGGTCGGTTATAGCTGGTATAGACGGCCCTAGCTGTATCGCTGAGGTAATGTCTGGGATTACCGAGACAATATCAGAGGGTGCCAATGGAAGGTCGGTTACAGCAGGTAGCGACGATACCAATGGAAGATCGGATACAACAGGCAGGTTTGATACCACTGGGAGGTCGGTTACAGCAGGTAGCGACGAAACCAAGGGAAGATCGGATACAACTGGTAGCGACGACACCAAAGGCAACGAAGATACAGCTGGTAGTATCGAAGTAACAACTGGCACGATAGACGACACCAGTGGCACTGACGACACCAACGGTAATGATGAGACAAGAGATTGGACCGGTCCCAGGAGGTTAGCCGCTGTTGTTGGACAGACGCTGACGGTGCTAGTGACGGGGACTAGATTGGTAACGGTATTGGTGAATGTAAGGATCGGAGAAGCGCTAACCACAGTCGCAGTGGCAACCGGGATGGCGGGAGCAAAAACCGTCGTGGGCGATGTCACCGACTCGAAGACAGTCGATGTCGCGATAACCGTGGGCGCAGGCGAGGTGCCGAACGTAGCCGTAAACGCGCGGGGAGTCACTGCCAGGGCGCCCAAGAGCCCACCGACAACGTTGTCAAGGGTGTAGGCTCCACTGTTGGGAAAGTTTCCAAGATCGGCTGCGCTGCAGACAATCGCAGTGTAGGTGGCAGGCGCACCAGAAGTGACATAGGAACAAGTGCGAGTGTAGAGCCCCAGTAGGTTGGACAGCATGGGCGTGAAGGTTGGCTTAGTTCCTGAATAGCAAGTCGACGTGCCGGACATGTATGTCACCTGGACGCCAAAGTAATCGCCTAGACCGGCGTGCTTGACACGATCATAACTGAAGGTTGGCGCTGCCGTCCCAATCAGAGACGGCAAGGCCGGGGCCACGAGGGAGCAGCCCGACATGGTAGTCGACTACAAAGGACTGAGCGAATGTGTCGATTGAATAGAATGTAAAAGAGATGTGCGGCTTGTTTGATTCTCGAAAGCAAGAAAGCCTCTCTTTATATGCCTTTCCAGAGTCAAATGAGAAAATCATGTCTTCTCTACAGCCATTTGCTACTGTGGAACGATGACAGGCATGCATTCTACGAGAGGTGGATAGCGGGACGGCCCCTACACGAAAGTGAGCACATCTAATGTGTATAGGGGTCCCACACTACCTTGGTGATTGGCGATCCGGTGCTTGATTGAGGGGCATCAGGCTGGTGTCGGTAAGGCAAAGGTTTTTGCTGTTGTCTCATGGATTTTCGTTAGTGCATACCAGCTGCAGCACCTGGAAGAACCATTGATCGGTGTCAAATTTTTGGAATAAAAAGCCGTCGCGTCATGCATGCTGCGTATGGCACTATCCAAGCAACGTGCAGCCTGAAGTGGGTGACCCGCGTCACACGAGCGTCTTTGCTGACGCATTCAGGTGTCCGGCAGTGCAGACTACATGTCCTTTCAAGCCGCTTCCACACTATAAATTTGGTCACCTGTCGCTCACCAAGTAAATTTGCAAGATCAGTCTCAGAATACAACGCCCTCTTCGTGGAGAAGACATAGGGATGGTTCCCGCGTCCTTGCATTCTTTCACGATACGGTTCGACAAAGCGGGGACCGTACATATTACCCAAAGACGGCCTAAATGTCGCCAAACCAGGGCTGTTCCTGTCAGCGTCATGTGCTTGGAACCCAGCTTTCAGCCAGAGCATCGAGTAAACACCTTGTAGGACTGTGACTCGCTGCAACATGAAGACAAAGTCGCTCATGTCGTTGCGCGCTCACAAACGCATCAAACAAGAGAGCAAGAGTCTTCTTGCGCATGGTGTGTAAAACCGGAGACAGCGCGAAGCAATACTGCTTTTCGGCAGCCTCGAATTGAGCGGCCCAAATTGCAAGTGGCGAGACAACCAAAGGGTATTGCTGTGCCACTCAAGCGCATCCAGGTCACTCGCAATACCGGAAAAGAAGATTTCGTGGCCAGATCAGCACAGTCAGTCTTTTGCCTTTTTCGTAAAGTGATGATACAGCAATCCACATATGCGCGACAAACCGGGCGCCCCAAGGAATACCAGTATGCAGGCATAATCATGAAGATATTCCACGGCACAGACATGTGCTCTAGCGATGATGGAAACGATAATCGCACGCTTTTGCCCTGCCGAATGCAGGCAATATTGCAATGCAATGCACCCACATGCACCCAGCATAGCCTCTTCCCTTGCCGTCCTGAATTAGGCAACTAAGTCCTGCTCTTACGATTGCTGCGTCTAGACTCTTCAAGGTATGCAGGGACTTGAGGCCCTGTTGCCGGCGATAGAATGCTGGATTCAATGAACCAGAAACGCATTGCGATGGAGACGGAGCTGCTGCAGTAGTATGCAGTGGAGTTTCCGCACATGCACCTTTATGCACTGCGATATTGATGAGCCGTTACCGTGTTGATTCAGATGGCGGTTTGATGCGGGCGATGTTGGAAGTAGGGGACAAAGGGGTTGAGGAGGTGAGTGGAAGCATGGGCGGAAAGGGGTTCGCTCGGTTCCGAAAGCGGCAGCCATGGAAGTAAGTAACGTGATGTCATGTGGCAACGTGCGTGAGGCAACCGCCATCACATGAATGGACTTGATGTTTGTCACATGATGTGTGTTGATGCTGGAGTAATGGATTTTCATTACACCTTCATGTTTGATCGAGAATCAGACCACCGGCGAGAATTCTGCGACATGGGGATCCGAGATTACGTAAGGCCTTTACGGCACGCAAGCAAGAGTATCGTTGATATTGTGAGTGTGATCAAACACGACGAGAGAGTTTCTCCTTCACTTTTCTCGTCCGTTTATTCATGTCATTCGTTCTTATTAGAGCACTGTTAGAGGGAAACCTCTACAAAATATTGTAGTTTCATCGCTATAAGCCATCAACATGAGTAACAGCATCAACTCCTATTCTGTATGTTCAAATTGCTGCTCACACAAAATCAGAACATCGCTGAGTTCAAGTATTCCATGCCGCCTAATTCTCGACTTGACTGGTCGACAAAAGAATCTCTAACCTCTGCAGCTAGTCCCAAAATCTACTCCAACATTTCCCTCAAACACAAAAAACACGCCTCACACACACGTCTCACTCCCCTCATCAATCCCAACAGCCGCATACCCATTCTTCTCCCAAAACGGGCTTTCCTCTGGCTTTCTCCCCTTCAGCGCCGCCAGCATTTCACAAGGATCCACAAACGTCACCCACCAGGACACATGATCATGCCATCCAGGCCCCCGTAGCTCCGTCTTCCCGTCCTGCGCGAGATAGACACGGTAGTCACGCGGCAAGTAGCGACGGGGATGTCTGTAATTCCACAGGACGCTATTGATCAGCGTGGGACTTGCTGCGAAAGCCCAGAAGAAGCATTCGTAGCGTACGATGGACGACAGCGTTGCGAGATCCAGCGCCGAGTCCGAGGCCGTGTAGATGCGCGTTGCGGCAAAGTGCTCGACGATGCGGTACACGGTGCGGAAGAGGATGAGGAACATGCTGATGTACAGCGTCAGCAGCGGTGCTTGCACTTTTCGCGTCGTAATCCCGCCGGCAATGCAGCGTCTGTGGAAGAGAGCGGCGATGAAGCAAAAGGCTGCGATTACGACGATCTGCAGGATAAGCGATACTTTTAAGAATGCCTCGCCCAGTTTGACGAAATCCTTGTTTACAGCCGGGTTCGCCAGCCAGGATACTCCCACGCCGTTTAGGATTTCGACGATGCCGGAGACAAAGCCAAAGGTGGTCAGTGTGCGGCCTGGGTGCAGCGGCGCGTAGTACGGGACGTAGTAAAGTATGCGGCCAAGGACATGGTAATTTGCCAATTCCAAGATGGGACTGGTATGTTTAGTCAGTCCGTAACATTCCATCCTTTTAGTTTGAGAATCCCACTTACGGAGCACAGTATATAAATATGGTACTCGCAATATAGACATTAATGTCCTTGTAGTGTATCGCGCCGTACGAGCGGAGGGCGAAGCCTACGGTGAAAAGCAGACTGCATACGGGATGCAGACCAGTCACTTTCCAGGCCTTGTACCGGATACACTGCCAGACATGGGCGATTGTCACAACGCCGAACCACGCTGTGAACATTGGTGGGGCCCAATTGACTGGGTCGTATAGGTATACGCTACCGGGAACTATCTCGCCCTGGGCCATGGTGTGCATGGATGAAATCGGAGAATGAGGTTGAAGATAGACAAGCTATTCTGTGAGACCTGGCTAACCTTTATTCAAAGTGCTGTAGTCCATTCTTTGGGTTCCTTCAAAGCCATATAGACCATTATTAGACATCCTGTTAACGCACTCTTTCCAAAAGGGGTTATACCTAGGCCAAGACTCGAAGAGAATCAAGTACGAGACGTGGTGGCTTGATATAAGCCCCAGGCATGTATAGCTTACCTGACTTGTAACAGATCCTAGTGTTCGCGAGATTATCTCTTGAACGGGCTAAGACGTCAAGGTGTGGCTGTGTACTGTGGCTTTGCGACCTAGATTACCGGAATCAACCAGAGCGAGTACAAGGTTAATCTAGTTTTGGCCCCTACCGCCCTCTCACGAACGAAGTATTGGTCTCCGAGAGTGGCTACACACATGTCAGCAACTCCATCATGGACTTGACGACAGCCATCTTCACAGCCACTTAATCCAGCCTTTGCATAACGCGAGGCAGTTTCCGCGGCGAGTCCGAGCAGAAGAAACCCCCTTAACGGCGCCTCTTGTGTAAGCCTGCTGATTTGGAGCTAAGCCCGATACGGCAGTCAAGATGGCCAAGACCAGGAGGCCTTACAGCGCCCATGACACGCGGGGGCGTTGGTGTCCCTCAGCCACACCAACGACTTTGGTCTCACTGTGGTAATTAAAGTGCAGAAATGCTCGCTGCTACAACTACAACTACTACTACTACTACTACTACTACTACTACTACAAGGCGTACATACCATTTGGCACTACAACCATACGTGCCAGTACCCCCCCGCGATCCAGACTAAACCCACACCACGTTCCCCCCCGTGGGCTGCATCCCTCGAAAACCAGCACACCGTGTGTTGCGCACCAGCATGGCTTTGACCGAAAAAGGCGAAAACAAAGCATCGCGCCAATGCTGGGATTGCTTAAAACGGCGGCTAGTGTGTGATCGGACGCTGCCGCACTGCAGAAAGTGCCACAAGGCTGGCCGCCAGTGCTCGGCCTACGACGATGCAAAGCCGCTGCAGTGGGTCCAGACGGGCATGGTGACTTCAAGACGGAGGAAGAAGAAGCAGCAGGACGATAGCATGCCAAAAGTCTCTGCGGCTGCGACTGCGCCCGCGCTATGCCAGGAGAAGCAGATATCGTGGAAGAAGACAGGGGTATCGGACCAGGAGCCCTACGACACTGACTACATCTGCGAGCCCGTGGAGTACCAAGACGCTCTGGCCTTTTTTGCGGTGGAGCAAAAGGATCTGCCCGAGGACGGCGTGCACGACCTCGTGTCGTCGTTCGAGCTGACAGCCATCACCAATGAAGCTGGGCGGATATTCCAGACCTGGGGTCGAGCCAAGATCGAGGAAGTTGTGGAACGAGGACTGCATGACGAAGCAGCAAAGATACTGCGATCTAAGCGCGAGCCGCTTCAACGCCTGAAGCGCCTAGTCGTGCTGCTGCAGACGCAAAATGTACCGATGTACGAGTACCTCGCAAACGAGACGTGTGACGTGGTTCAAGCCGTCCAATACTGTGAGTATACGCCACACAGGCAGGGAAGAAGTTGAAAAGCCCCGGTGACTTACAAACAGCATTAGATAATCATAGAATCCATGCCCAGTACAAGGCGTCCGGGGAACTGGCTCCCAACCCGGCGATTATCGTATTCCCTCCACAGGCACTGCATCTTCTCACGCCGGCAATCCACCACACGCTGGTCTGTATATCGCTCAACCACTATCTCCACTCGCAGTCCATTGGTGCAGATCGCGCGGCGGCAAGCATCAACCGGTCGAAGATTTACCACCACCGAGGCGAAGCGCTACGAGCACTGAGCCAGTACATTGGCCAGGACAAGACACGATGCTCGGACATGACGATTACCAGTATCCTAATGTTCATGTGCCTGGAGGTAAGCTTGCAGTTTGAGTATGTAGGCAATACGATACAGTGCTGACAGTCAGACTTGTTAGCTCCAGAATCCCACGTTTACAGATTGGCGGTCCCATGTCAACGGCATGAAGCGACTAATTGACCTTCGGGGCGGGCCGAAGCAGCTAATCCACGACGCGCCGCATCTAGTGGCCTCGCTAGTACTCTACCTACTGTAGGCTACCTGGGCCATGGCTGCAAAAACGGACAGATGGCTAACGCGTGTGCACAGCATCATCTCCATTGCGAACACGTGCAGCCCGCCGTGGGACCAAGTCGACATGACGGGCGTAAACGACACCATCATCGACGATGTCAGCAGCATGTATGACCTCATCTTCCCGTATACGCTGTGTCCGCGGGAGCTCTTCGTCGAGATCCTGCAGATCAACCAGCTGCGCACAAAGGCGTCGGCGGCCATGCTGCTGTTTGACATTGACCCTGTGCATGCGCTCGAGGCGCAGGATCTGGTGGTCCGCATCGAGGCATTCTCGCCAGAGGCGTGGGCACAGGCGGGGACGCTGTATTCGGAGTGGCTGATGGTCGGCAGCATCTACAAGGCGGCCGTGTCACTGTACTGCACCTTGTCGCTGCAGTCTCTCACCATCCTGCCGCCGACCGTGTCGCTGCATAGGAGCCAGACGGGGAAGGGGGATCTCCTCCTGAGCAGCGTGCGGTGCGCGCTCCAGACGCCCAGGATAGCGAGACATATGGTGTGGCCGCTGGTGGTGGCGGGCGTAGAGGCTATCCACCGCAGCGAGGCGACCAAGAGGTGGATTGAGGCCAGTCTGCAGGATCTCAGTCGGCTGCTGGGGACGAGCTGCCCGTTGAAAGCATGCGCGGTGCTCAAGCGGTATTGGAAGGGCGGGGTAGCGGGGTGGGACGAGTGTTTTGACAGGGCTTATGTGTTTATTATCTAGACGCCAGATCGTGTCGTGTGCAGGCAGAGGGTGCGGGGTATACTCGTGTTTGCGCAACATGCAAATTTACATACATACTATACAGAGGGGAGATGCAATGTCTGCTTTTCCCGCCGACGCCGAACCATGCAGTTGATTTCTTTTTCGTGTCTTCGTGAGCGGTGTTGACGCATCACCGTTATGCGCATTCGCTTCCGGGCTGCTGGCGCGGTTGTAATTTTTTTTCTCTCCGCCTCTTCTACCGCTCCAGCCCCTTGGCGTCTGGATCCTCGTCGCCCTTTGTCTCCTTGACATCCTTATGGGGGCGGCCGGCATACAGCATGTAGCCCTTCTCCTCGATGGTGCCGGCCTTTTCGTCAGCCTCGGCGCGGCCGTGGCCAAAGGCGCCCGTCTCGAGCTGGCCCTGGACGGCAATGGGCCTGTTGCCGCGGAAGCGCTTGCGCATATCGATCATGCCCTTCTTGCACTCGGCATAGCCCTTCTGCAGCTGCTGGCACTGGGTGGGGAGCGTGTACTTGAGGGGCGGGCGGAGACAGTCGCCGGGAGCGTGGCGCTCGACCATGATGCAGTCGCTGTTCTGGAGGCAGAAGGCCAAGGCGGCGCCTGGGGGGGAGCATTAGCAGGCAGCCGGGCAGCAAGCATCGTCGTCGCCATCATCATCACCGTCATCATCATCATCTTCTTCTTCTTCTTCTCTTCATCCAGGGCGGGGGGGAAAAGGGCCGTCCATACGGATGTCTTTGCACGACTGCGGCATGCTGAGGCGGGGAGGGCGGATCGGGTGGATGGCAGCGCGACGACGTGGAAGCAGCAAAGTGGAGCAGCAGAAGAGGTGGCGATGGGCTGTTGGTGCCAAGACGCTGCCCCCCCTAGCCGAAGAGGGCCCAGGCGGCGCAGCCACAGGCGGCGGTTGGAGCGAAGCGCTATCACATGTCAGCGACACGTCGCTTTGGCACCACCACTGGCAGCGCCCGGACACGCATGCATGCGATTGCTGCAAGCGGCCGAGACGACGCTTCTCCTCGCCGCTGCGGCAACTGAGCCATTGCATATCATGGCTCGCTCACCGACCCCCCCAACACCCCCCAACACCCCCCCGACACAAGCACGTACGCATACGCGAGCTTCGACGTTTACGAGGCCCCGGCGCGAAGAGGGGCGATGCGCTGGCGTTGCATCTGCTTGCCCTCCAGCCTTAACCGCCCCGTCCGGCCGCTCACTGACTGCATTGCTGCTGCTCACTGCACCGCACTGCACTGCACTGCACTGCACACGCCCCCTCCCGAGCTGCCACCGCCATGGCGCTCCATATTCCTTTTCTCTCGCGCCTGCACATCCGCGAGTACATTGCTTTGTTTCTGTCCATCATCCTCGTCGTGCTCGAGTCCTTCATCGCCGTCATCACCCTCGCCCTCCCCACGCCCATCATCAACCTCTGCTACCTCGTCACGCGCCGCATCTTCAACTCGCTCTCGTCGGCCTCGGCGGCCCACGCGCGTGCCGGCAAAAAGAGCGTCTGGAGCCCCGTGGCGAGCGCCTCCGACTTTTCCGAGCTATGCGACATCTACGGCTACACGTGTGAGGAGCACATTGTCCAGACGGGCGACGGATACCTGCTGGGCCTGCACCGCCTGGGCTGGAAGAAGGGCGAGGAAAAAGTGCGCGTCAACTGCGGCGACCCGGCCAAGGGCGTGCGCAAGAAGGTCGTCTACCTGCACCACGGGCTCATGATGAACAGCGAGGTCTGGGTCTGTATGACGGACAAGCAGCGCTGTCTGCCCTTTGAGCTGGTCGAGCGTGGCTACGACGTCTGGCTTGGCAACAACCGCGGCAACAAGTACTCCAAGAAGAGCATCCACGCCCCTCCCACGTCGAGCCGCTTCTGGAACTTTAGCATGGACCAATTCGCCTTCCACGACATCCCTGATTCCATCGGCTACATCCTCGAGACCACGCACCAGCCGTCGCTGTCGTACATTGGCTTCTCCCAGGGAACGGCCCAGGCCTTTGCCACGCTGTCCATCCACCCCACGCTCAACGACAAGGTCGATGTCTTCATTGCGCTGGCTCCCGCCATGTCGCCCAAGGGTGTTGCTTCCGGCGTTGTCGATGCATTCGTAAAGGCCTCTCCGGACATTCTCTACCTCGCCTTTGGCCGCAAATCCATTCTGCCCTCTACCACCATGTGGCAGTCCATCTTGTATCCGCCCATCTTCGTTCGCCTCATCGACAAGGCCATGTGTTTCCTGTTTGGATGGAGGGGCATCAACATCTCGCAGGAGCAAAAGCTCGCGGCTTATCCCCATCTCTATTCTTACACTTCGACCAAGAGCGTAGTCCACTGGTTTCAGATCATCCGCAACGGCACGTTTCAAATGTACGATGACGACGCGCCGAATCCCATCACTTCAAACCGGTCCAAGTATTACAAGGTCGCCAAGTTTCCCACCAAGAATATCAAGACGCCCATTGTACTCGTCTATGGCGGGTCAGACAGCCTGGTCGACATCGATGTCATGTTGAAAGAGCTCCCCCCGCACACAACGGCCAAAGAGATTCCGCACTACGAGCATTTGGACTTTTTGTGGGCAGATACCACCGACACTCTCGTCTTCCCCCATGTCTTTGAGGCCTTGGAAAAGTATGCCGTCATGGAAAGTGGAACGCCCAATGGTCTCAAAGAGCGCCGCTGGCGGCCGCCAGTCAACTATAGGGGCCACCTGCCAGAGACCGATACACCGCCCGTGCAAGAAGGATACGACGATGTAGGTGACGAAAGCAAACCAGTTTCACCAACCACGCGCGCGCGGAGGGTCTCTCCGCAAACACGGAGGGCACTCTCTTACCATGGCCCCTCCATGGCCACGCCTCCAGTCGTCACCAGCCCTGTTCTAGCGTCGAGAATGTCGTATCCGGCTGCCTACAAGGTCGGCTGTGAGGATCAGTTTCCCTCCATCAGAAGCAGAATCATGTCCCCGCCGCCCACACACAGGGTCTCTCTGTCTTTTGACTCACCTGGCACAAACTCTCAGATTACCGCGCAAACCTCGACCTCGCGGCCAGAAGGCTGGTGGTCATCGGATGAGGTGGCCGGTACTGACCCGTCCCAGACTACGACCCCTGCCAGTCCGACCCCAGCCCGGAGGTCAAGCTTCGGTAGCCTCCAGAGCACCAAGAGCGTGGCAGGCAAGGTCGGAGCCAAAGGCATCACCGTTGGCGCCGGCAAGGCAGTGAGCGGCGTTACAACAGGTGAGGGCTATGGTGAAGGACACAACACCGCCAAGGACCGTCAGAAATTACTCGAGGCTGATAAGAAGCGCAGGAACGTTTTAAAGAAGAAGCCACCGGTTAATAGCTGACAAAGAAAGAAGCGGATTGGAAAGAGCCAGTTGCTGAAGAACCTCATCAGGAAGTATCGCAAGAAATGATTCATGATGAACCCCCGTTGCAACGGCTCTTTCTCTTCCGCATGTTATTGGCAATATGGTCCACGGTCTCATATTGCAGGCTGATTCAGAAATATACCCTCTTTTTTTTTATCTTGGCACTCATGCCGTACAGCTAGCACGCTCTGTTGTTGGTGGTTGACTGACTGGTGAATATGTATCTCGGCATAATCGAATCCTTCTTCAATGAACATAAGGCCGTTAGCTTTGTAGTTAGTGGGAAGATCCTAAGAAAACGCCATAAATCCCCCCGAACTATGTATTCCCATGAAGCTTGGCTAGGGGCGCAAGCATGCCGCGCCTGTCTCAGCTATCCACCTATATACCCAAAAGCGGTTTAGCGCGCTCTACTAGCGCACCCAGACGAGTCCTAGGGCAGAAACACGACCCCCGATCTTATACACTTCACGTCGGAACCCCTACTTCATAGCACCCCCACCGCATGATCCCTACCTTCCTTTTTTTTCCTTTTTCCGCCGCCTGAGCCCAGCAATGGACGAATGACAGCTGTAGCGCAACCTTATCCTGTGACTCGGGAGCCGGCACCGCTAGTCCCCAACAGGCGCTTTGCGACAATGCGGGAGGACTTGACGGCCTCCTTGTACCTGCAATCGATGCGGCGCGAGGCATTGCTGCTCACTCTGCAGGCACAAAGCACGGATGCTAGAAGGGAAACGCAGCCATGTGCGTGAGCCTCAAAACCCAGGCCAAGGCGCTTTTCTTGGCTACGCTGCTACGGCGGGGGGGTTCCATGTGTATGCGAAGCATGGGAGGGCCAGGGTTCGCGTAGATTGGAATTTGTCTTGGAAGGATTATCGTTCCATTGACTCTTGTGCCTGTGTCGCTCCCTCTCTATCTCCTCCCACCCTCGTTCCCTCAGACCACTCACCCCTCACCCCTGTTTTTTTTTGCCTCTTTTTGCACATTCTCGAGTCGTTGGTTTCTTTCACTCGTTTCCATATATTACTCGCTGGCGAGAGCACACGGCTGCTTCTTTTTTCTCTCGTTGTGTCGGGTATCACACACACGCTCTTTTTCACTGTTTTACCCTCCAGTCGCTCTTTTATTGTTTTCTTCTTCTTCCCGCTTGTGTGTCATTCACATCCTTGTCTTGCTCTTTTTTTTGTTGCAAAACGTTGGTTGTTGTCATTGTCAAGTCGACTCAGTGCCTCAGGTGCTTGCTTTCTAGCCTCAGGTGGTTGGGTCTCTCTGGACGCGCACAAACAGGTCCTTCGCTCGTTATTTTGTGGGGTTTCCTACGCGCATGCAAGATGAAGTTGTTGTACGCGCTGTCTGCCGTCGCGGCTTTGAGTGGTAATGTCGGCGCGTCTGTGAGTGAGGGCTTGGACACGCATCGTGTGCTGAAAGCCGCGACAAAACGGTCCGATGTGTATCGGAGAAGTGTGAGGATCAAGAGGAATTTTGAGACGGAGCTGGTATATGTGGATAGTATGTTATTTGGTCTGACGTGGGACGTGACTAGCTGACAATGGGCAGATGAGAATGTCTGGGGTGATGCATCGACCTTTGCTTCGCAGGTCAAGGTTGGTGGGCAGAACCCAGTGTTCAACCTGGAAGAGCATGAACACCATTTGAAAAGTGTCGAGTGCGGGGAAGATGCTATCAAGTTGCACTTTGTCGATGCCTCGTCTGCTCGTGACGCAAGGGCTGCCAGCCACCATAACGGTACTGGCTTGATCATCACGTCGCATGAGGGTTGCAACGCAGAGGGCGAGCGTTCGGTATACCGGTAAGTCGTACACATCTGTACAGATACACGGTCTGATGGCGCCAGCGTAAACGACGTGACTTTTGCCAAGGATGGAGAAGCACTTGAGGCATCCGTTACGAAGACAACATGGCAAGACGCCTTCGATCACGTGAACATAACATTCGGCCACACCACCGAAGACCACTTCTACCGCCGCCACGCCGACTTTGCCAGGATCCGGAGCAAGCGCCAGAACCGCGTCAGCATTCCAGAAAACACACCCGACAATGTCAACACGGTTACCTTTGACCTGAACACTGAGGTGCTTGACAAGACGTTCGGTGCTGCGGATATCTTGGACATTATTGGAAATTTCCTGCCACTCCCAGATCTCCCTGTCAATGTCCCCATTGAGGTTGGATGTAAGAGGTGTGCTACCACGGGAAAACTGGCTCTGTCGCAAGGAGCATTCCATATTGACCTCTCGAAAATCGACTTGATCCCCGATATCTTCCAAGGTGGCGATGATGGCAAGGAGATTTCAAGCGTTATCACTGGCGGTTTCGTGGAGCTTCAGGCCATTGGCGTCGGTGCGCGACTAGAGCTCTTTGCGCGCCCTACCAGCAACGGCATGCTCGAAGTCGCTCTTTTCCAGGTTCCCATTGCCGGTTTCACCATCCCCGGCATCGGCCAAGCCGGCGCTGTTTTCGAGCCTCGAGTCCGCTTCGAGTTCCAAGTCAGCGGCGGGCTCGAAGTCACTGCAGGCCTTGATCTCAAAGTCCCCGATGGCTCCAGTCTCCGCGTCGAACTAACAAACCTCGGTAACAGCAAGGTTGTAGGCTTCCAGGATACCAGTCTCACGCCACTGCCCGTGAACGTGAACCTTACCGATGTCGATATCATTCTTGGTCTTGCATTCAAGCCTGCTATTCCGATCGGCTTTAATTTTTTCAACCAGATCAAGGCTGAAGTCACGACTAGTTTGGAACTCCCTCGTCTGGACGCTAAGCTCTCGAGCAACGTTGCTGGAAACTGCAACAAGGGCCGCAACGGCGTCTCTGCACCACCAGCTGCCGCTGCAATGTCAGTCAAAAACCACACCGCGAGGCAGTTGCCCAGCCCTCCCCTCAGCCTGGGTCCGATTGCTCTGGTCCAAGCCAATGTCTCTGTCTCATGCGACATTGCTCTTGATGTTTCGATCCCGATTCTGCCTCCGCCGTTCAACGCCGTCAATGTCGAGAAGAACATCTTCAAGGCGCAGCTCGAGCTGGTCAAGGAGTGTACAGCAGCGAATGCTGCGTTTAGGAATTCTCCTGCCATGAAGATTCCTCCTCCCCCACCTCCACCTGCAACGGCCGAATCTATCAATGGAACCATGGTGAATGGAACCATTTCTACGACTGCACCACTGAACGCTACAGCGAAATACGGTGGTTATCCAGTACTGTCGTATGCTAAATCAACCCAGGCTCAGCATTCACCACCGCCATATGTCGCGTACTCGGCAGTACCGTATCCCACAGCGACAATGGCGAACCGTACGACGACAGTCATGGCAAAGCCTACCATGTCTTCAAAGGCAGTGTCAAACCATACTGCTACCTTGGTCGCCAGCAGCAGCTTAGTCGCCAGCAGCAGCATGAAGCATTCAAGCCCGCCGCCACACACTGCTCGCCCACCGATGCTCAACCACACCATGGCCACACAGTCGTCGTGCACCACTCCACGGACCTCCCAAGCCGCAGTCACCTCGACCATCACGCACCGCATCACGCAAACGCTGACGACAACCGCCTCGCCTGTCAAAGCCACGACTCTCGACTCCGAATTCTCCTTTACGCTCTTTTCCACCGTCAAGATCGACTCTGCAAAGTCATCCCGCATGGCGACGTCGACGCCTGCAGCGAGGAACTCTTCGTCTGCGCCTGCGCTCGCCCCGCTGTTCACTCTTTCGCTGGAGCCCTACTCGTCCGCCGCGTCGTCTACACCTGTAGTACTCTCTTCTTCAACTCCAACTCCATCTTCCATGATGGCTTCCCCGGCTATGTCGTCTTCCATGAAGGGAGCCAGCACGCCCCTCGCAGCCGCGACCACGCTCGCTGTTTCCTCTTTTTCCGCCAACGCCTCCATCGCTTCAACCTCAACCCCCGCATCTTCATCTTCATCTCCAGCTCCATCCTCCGCATTTTCCTCTTCCTCTTCCTCTTCCTCCTCACCCGCCGCTGCATCCACCACCCCTGCCCCAACAGCAACAGCAACAACAACAACCATGCTAGCCCCACCACTTCCCCCCATCCTCGCCTCCATGCCCACCCAAGCCCTCCCCAAACTCGAAGCCACCGTCACCATGGGCGCAGGTTTCCTCGTCCCCACAAACGCCAGCGCACTGCCTGTACAGGCGAATCAGACGGGTATCGCGCAGTTTACAGGCGCAGCTGCCAATGGCGCTCAGGTGTCGTTGTGGCTGGTTAGCGTGGTTGTGGGGTTTTTGGGTGTTTGCATGTTGGGCTAACTAAGTGAGGTGAATCTTACTTGGTCCCATGCTAAGGTTCTCGGGGGTGGTTTGGGGGGGAAAGAAAGAAAGAGGAGGGTATTGTGGCATCATTGGTGGGATGACCATGTATGTAGTTCTCGTTTTTTTGTTGTTGTTGTTGTTGTTGTTGTTGTTGTTGTTGTTGTTGTTGTTTTTTCATTTCTGTATGATTGTCGGGATAATTTTGTGCTTGTTGGATTCGGTTCGCGGATGCTTGGGATACCCCACACTTTTATTTTTGTGTTATTGGTTGTTTTGTGGTTGTGGTTGTTGTTGTTGGTGCTGAGGATTGACGTGGCGATGCTGCGTGGGTTACTCTTTGGATCAATGATTGAATGGATGGATGGATGGATGGGAGATGCGGGTTCGATATAAGACTTGCATGGGGACAACGAGTGGAAAATGCGGTGTAGATGGATAGGAGACGTGTTTTTTGTTTCTTGGGTTCTTCTCAAGTGTGGGATTTGAGAGTGTTGGAGGAGGAGAGGGAGGGGTGCATGTGGTTTGTGGTTTAATCTACCTATCTAATACTAAGAAAATACCTGAACTGGGCAATTCCTATTGCCGACGAAAGCCAGAATATCGAAGTTGCGTTTTGACTTTTGTGCTGGTGGCTGAATAGTTGTGCGACTGGTTTCTGAGGTTAGTAGGGACTTTGTGGTTAGATGATGTGTACATGATGGAAACCTGTCGGCGCCCTTGATGGTATTAGGTATGACAAGTGTCAAGGTTTGATGATTTGTAGCCAGCGAGTGTAGTCAAATAATGAATACTCATATCATCCCTCTGGCTTGTGTGCGAACTGCTACTTTCTAGCATGGTGAATTTATTTCTTGAGAAGCGGAGAGTTGGTGAACCATCATGTTGAATGCTGAAACCCCGAACTCGGACATTTCAAGACTGATGCTAGAAGCTCATTTCCTATAGATGCAACTCAATGTAACAGTGGATTTTGGTATGACAAACAAGCGTACACACGGGCTTATGGGGCTTGAAGACGTCAGTTTGGAGGAACAACAGCATGAAGACTTCACTGCTTCATGCAGATTGTGGTGGAGATGGAGCAAGTATCATCGCTCTTTTGTAGCCAGACATGGAATACCAAGATCAAGGTCATGTAACCAGAAACGGAACCTAACCCTGCTTATCCTACAATTTCGACACCCGAAGCAGAATATCCCTCGCCTCTGCACGTATCTTCTCCACGATATCCTTTGCACTTTCAACCTCCTTCACCAACCCCACGCCCGTGCCCGCCCAGATTGCCGCACGCCCCTGCAAGCCAGTCTTGAAGCCCTGGCCTTCGCCAGCCGCCTCTTCATTGTGCAACCGCTGAATCTCCTCCAAACTCACTCCGTTTGAGAAATCCGCGTGGCTCTGCGCAACAAGACCACGTCCATCGTACAGCTCCGGCCAGATACTGGGGCCGCGCAATTGATCAAACAGCCTCGACCGCGTAGTCACCTGTCCGCCGTCTGTGGCTTCAAGAACTGCGGCTTGATAGACTGGATGCACTTTGACCTCGCGAGAGGCCAGGAACCGCGTTCCCATGACGACGCCCTGAGCGCCCAAGGCGAGAGCAGCTGCAACACCGCGTCCATCTGCGATACCACCCGAAGCCACAAGCGGGATATCCGTGAAACCCGCTGCAGCGAGAGCATCCGAAGCTTCAGGCAGCAGCGAGACAATAGAAGCGCCTTTTTCGAATCCATGGCCCCCGGCATCCGCACCCTGCAGACAAAGCACATCGGGCCTCGCCGTCGTCGCAACTTGCAGCGCCGCCGCCACACCCCCCAGCTGGATCCAGATACTACTCCCCGGCGAAGCCTCACGCAGCGCCCGCGTCCACCCTGCATAATCCTCCAGCGCAGCAGCCGCAAACAGCCACACAACCGCAGGCCTGTACCGCTTGACCAGCGGCACCACCTCATCCAGCCTCGTGATGAACAGCAGAAATCCAACACCCACCGGCAGCATTCCCGCGGCAGCCAGCGCCGTCCCCTCGAGCCCCGCAACAGCAATCTCAAGCTCCCCCGCCACATCCTCCATGTTAGCCACCCCGCCAATCATACCCAGACCCCCCGCAAGCGTCACTCCACTCGCCAGTTTGCCCCCCGCGAACCCAGCCATCGGCGCGTTGATCAGCAGCGGCGCCTCTGTCCATGGTAGCTGCTGCTTAAGCGGCGGCATGGCGAACGAACGGGATTCAAGGGAAAGAGAAAGAAACAAGAAGAGAAGCAAGACAGTGCGGTTGTGAGACGCGGGGAGAGTGAGTTCAAAGGGTGTGAGAGCCGCTTTTATACGCGCTGCGCCGTGAGCACATGCAGGTAAGCGGCACGCTTTGCCGTTACGCCCTTGGGGCTGTGAAACCGCCAATACATGTGTACTGCAGCTGTGGCATGTATATGCGTACGGAGGAACTAAGGATGGCGAGGGGCAGAGGCGAGAAGTGGGGGGGGGAGGGGAGGGTATGAGCCCCGCATATTAACGAAGTTTGACAGCCCGTGCTTGTTCGTGAAACCCTCATATTGACTACTCAAAAAACCAATTCTTCCTTATTTCCATAAAATCGGCTCGATGGTGTAGTTGGTCATCACGTTCGCCTCACAATCCGTGCAGCACGCGAAAGGTCCCGAGTTCGAGCCTCGGTTGAGTCAAATTTCATTTTTGTTTTTGGTATCTTCCTGCGCTGGAGTCAATCCAGACTTTTTCTTTTTCTTTCTAGGGGTTTTTGTTTGCCCCTGTCCTTTGGTGCCCGTTGTCACGAATGCGTACGACCTTGCCTGTTGCATTTTCATCTTCCAGCTGGTAAACACAGGTGGTATCTGGAACGCCAATGCTTCAACTACAACAACAAGACTTGATATTCGCTCCCCAAAAAACTATATACAAGAAGATCAGTACCTGAAGCAAGCGGCTATTTTTCCTGAAAGCTCACGCGCAAAAGATGCGGCTTCCTTTTCTCCAGATCGAGAATCATCTGGCCAAACATGCCGTTTGCCCAGCTGAACCACTGGCGCGACCAAGTACTCACGGATCTCGCCGAGACGCTCTCATGCATCAAGCCGAGGCCATCTGTGCTCTGGAGCAGCCAGCGCAGATTCTGTGTGATTTCCGCGTCGTCGTCGGAAGTCAGGATGGTCATGATGAGGGCCATGGGCCAGGGGTTGCCGGGCAGGGTGTGTGGGCTTGCGATGCCTGTGATTGCGGGGCCGACGGCGTAGTAAGCGTTATCGCGCGATAGGAGCTTGTTTCTGGTGTTTTTGTAGATGGTGCTTTGGGGGGTGGTGTAGGCGAGCCAGGGGGCGGAGAGTAGAGACGGGACGTTTGGATCGTCCATGATGTTTGCGGAGCCGTAGCCGTCGATTTCGTAGGCGTAGATTTTGCCGTGCGTGGCGTCGTGCACCACGGCGTGCTGCTCGATGCCGCGGTTGATGCTGACGCTGAGTTCGCGCATGCGCGTGGCGAGCGGCGCTGAGTCGGTTTGCGCCATTATGGTTGCTGAGGCGTTGAGCGCTGTCGCGTACATCATGTTGGACGGGATCAGGTACTGGTAGGTGCATGCGTCGTCGCTGGGGCGGTGGAATGAGCGGACGAGGCCAATGTGGCCGCGGTGCGGGCTGCCGTTGCAATTGTTAATCGGGGTGCCGCCGTACGGGGCACAGTAGGTGTATGGGGTGTGCTGCCATGAGCCGTCGTCGGCGTAGCTGCCAATCATCATGCTGTCTGTGGTGTTGAGGACTAGCTCGACGGCCTTGGCCCAGTTGCTGGACTGTTTGAAGAATTCGTAGTCGTCGGTGGCGCGCACGTAGTCGGCCGAGAGCTGCAGGAAAGAGGCTACAGAGTCGAGTTCCCACTGGCAGGAAAAGACGCGGTAGTAGTCGTATGGCGGCATAATGGTATCACTGTTCTGGCTGTTATGTTGGTATAGGCCGCTCTCATCAGGCGCTTGAAAGGCATTGCAGAAGGGATCGCCGAGAATGTAACGTGCTTGCAGGTTAATGGCACCGCGGAACAGGCTGGCAAGACTATCGTGGCTGGCGTTTGCCTTCAACACGGAAACATAGGCTTGGAGTTGGTTGGCCGAGTCGCGCAGCCACATGGCTTCAATATCACCTGTGATGACAAAAGTTAGTTCCTCGGGCTTGAGGCTCATCTGACGCCCCTCGAGCTCAATGGAATTGCTCGTGTTTGACAGGCCTCGCCAGGCAATCGTCGTGTCGAGTGTACTCGGCCATGTGTTTTCAAAGAGCTGATGCGAATTAGTGAATATTTTACAGAAAATATACGCAATACTGTACCCGGAATAGATCAGGATCCTTGATGACATTTTGCAGTCGGGCAATCGTTTCTTCAACCTCTGGCGAGTGGAAAGTCCTACACTCCTCAATTGGCCTCGCATAGCTCAAATTCCATCTTCCCGTACTAAAAGGCTCGTGGAGGTTTGCGGCGTGGTTCTGGTAGGGCGGGCACTGGGCCCCTGCCAAGGGTGCCACAAGAAGCGAGACCCACGGCCACAGCCCACCTAAGCGTGACAGCCACATGGCACCGACGGGCAGCGGAACGAACACACAATATCACGGCACCAAAGGACAGCCAGCGAGCTGGCTCCTCGCACCGAGAGAAAGCCTAATATACTGGAGTTGGCGTGACCAGGATTAGGATTGTTGAGGATAAATGTCCGAGCCAAGCTCGGACAGTGACAGGCTGTCGGTACGGTCGGCTATACGGATCCCATCAATAGTATTAGGCCAAAAAGGAGTGAGCGGAATGCCAAAGGTCGCGCGTGAGACGAGGAGGTTGAAAGTCTACTTGGTGCACATGTGACGGGCGGGCTAGTGTATCTATATTACAGAGGTGGCTTTCAAAAGTTCTTGCTGACAGGGGTTCCTTGGTTACCACCGAAAATATAGCCGAAGACTAAGAATTATACTATATGCGCAACTAAAAGCCCTTAAAATAGAAGTTTGGAGAGAATAATAGCTACTAAAGTATACACTTACAGTAATACACTAACTATATTAGGCATTATTTCTTGCACGCTAAGTAAATAATGGAAACGTTATCACGAGAATTCGGTCCGATGGATCCGCGCCTTAGCAAGAACTTTTGAAAGCCACCTCTGTATATGCCAAGTCAACTCAGATCACCCGCCGGCGCGGATTCCGAAATAGAAACATCCGTAGTTGCATCTCCGCGCTAATGGGTGGGTTTGAACTTTAATTTATCCTTTGACAATGGCCCGCACTCTGTTCCTTTCTTCTGCATCAAGAACCCACGAGATGCCAGAGTCGCCCGTCGTGTCTCCGGCTATCTGCTCAAACTCGTCGTCCTCCATATTCAGTATCAACGTCATTTGCGTGCATTTCTGGAAAGCATCGCGCAGGGCATACGCGCCGCCACTCGTAGCTGCCGTGATGATTCCTGCAATGTCCCGCTCGAGCCGGACCGCGCCGAGCTCGTTGACCCTGCCGTAATAGCTCTTGATGCGCTTTTCCAGCGCAGAAGCGAGATAGTTCATCCCCAAGGCAAGGAGGCGGTCGAAGTTGGGTGAGGTGAGGATGCGTTTAATGGGACGAATTACCACGCCCCAGCCCCGGTCAAAGCGCGCTCTGACAAGGTCGGCCTCATCAGTGTCTTCGTCGTCTGCGTCCTCGTCACCGGGGTCGTACTTGATATCCCTAAAAGCCTCGGCGAGGATTGGCCGAATGCGCGGTTTCAGAACGTTGGAAAAGAGAACAGTGATGCCGTCATTGAGCAGGTCGCCGCTCTTGGCTGCAAATGCTTTTTCCATGTTTTTGAGCGTGGTTTGAACAAACGTGGCGTCGTGGCCAAAGGGGAACAGGTCGTGCAACGGAGAGTGAGCATCCTCTTGGCCAGGCTGTGGCTGCGTGCGCAGCTGTTGCTGAACTATGCGCTTGACATAGTCATTGGCAATGTCAAGGTTATTGAGCAGCACTAGAAAAGCAATAACCTTGTCCTCGGGGGGCAATCCGCCCTGTATGACGGGCTTCGGATAGCTCTCGTCTCGCATCTTTCTCTGTATCATACCGATGAACTCGGCGCCCAGGATGTGGCTTACCGCGGGGACTACACTCGACACGACGGCTCGCTGCGATGTTGCAAGCGTTCTTTGCAAGACCTGGTTGACAATATACATGACATCGTCAACGGCCGAGGTTATGAAGGGCGGGTTGGCTCCAAGAGGCTTGTTTGGGTTCAGAGTGAGGTCTGACGGAGACTCGTCTAGCTGGAAGGCTTTCTCCACCGACCGACGGAAAAAGAAGGTCGTCATGGCGTTTACGGGCTCGATGAGATGGCTCGTCACCTTCTTGTGGAGGTTGCTGGTCGTTAAGAAACTGGGCATCACCAAACCATGGTCAATCTGGTCCTCAGGCTCGTAGGGCTGCATTCATGAGTAATGGACCGCGACGTTTGCCGAGCGTACTTACCGCGCACTTGTCAGAGAGAAAGCGAGTATACAGGGCATACCGCCCCAGGATAAGAGCGCCTTCTCCGAGCAGACCATCAATCTCCTTCATGTCGACCCCTTCATCTTCACTCGTGCGCGCCGCGCCGTTAGCCGGTGAGCTCGAGCGGGGTATTCCGGAAGCAGGCTTTTGGGCTGGGAGGAAGCTTTGGACTAGGAAGGAAAAGGCATATGATTTGATTTCGGTCAGTTTGCGCTCGATCTGGCGTTCGTCGTGCCATGTGTCGAGCACAATGCCTCCTTGCACATCGGCCTCGATCTGCAAACGCTCAATAACCTTTTGCATCATGCCGGGGCCGTAGTGGCGCTCGACTAGCGGCTCGTGTCCGTCTACAATCTGGGCAATGTGCTCGAACAGCTTGGTGATGGTGTTGCCATAGAAGAAGCCTTCGTTTCTCTGTGCTGGCGAAGCCGAGTTGAAGTTTGCGCGCGCCCGCGACGCCACACCTTGACAGACGTAGCGACCATATGCATCCAAACCCACGTCGGTGCGCCCAATCAAGGGGAACAGTTTGAAGAAGCGCGTCACCTTGGAGCCGTCGCCCTCCTGAGCAGCCTTTTCAAACTCGCGCAAGAAGAGGCCACACAGCGACTCGGCGGCCGCATCGAGCGTCACCCGCGGCGGGTCAGGCACCTCGGCCGTAGGCACAATCTCCTCTGCAAAGCTGCCATTCACCACCTCTTCCGGTATCTTGGCGGCGCGACTGAGGTAGCCCGCGGCCGTCTCCCAGTCCTGGGGAGCGCCCATGGAGCCGTGGACGCCCAGGACGCACGCCTTCAGCTCCGCCACCTGCTCGACGACCTGCAGCGTCGCCTTGACATTGGATTGCTCGTGGTCCAACCGCTTGACGGCGCTCGAGATTCGGCCGGCGGTCGAGGCGGCGTCGGAGAGCATGCCATTGCTGATGGCTCGCGTGCTGACGGCGTGGGTGCCGAGGCGGGCGCGCAGCACGTCGAGGCGCCCGAGTTCGCGCGAGAGGTCTTTCTGGGAGGCGACGAGGGCATCGAGCTGCTGCGTGACGCTGGCCTCGTGGTCGTGCAATTGGCCGAGGGCGGCGTGGATCTGGGCCACGCTGGCGGCGGCGAAGATGTCCTGGGGGTCGGTGGTGTCGACGGCCATGGCCAGTCAGTCATGGGCGGAGGCGTGTCGTGCGTGGCTGTGGCGGCGTCGGAGGGAGCGTCGCTTTCGGGCCCGCGGGGACATGTCGTGGGCGCACAGCGGCTTGGCCGGTGACGTCTCATAATCTCGCCAGGGCTCCATCCATGCGTTGTTGCGGCTGTTGCCCATGCGGCCGCATTGCCACAACTTGTTGATGGCCCGGGTGTGCCAGGCCAAACACGCCGCCAGCTGCCTGCCTATGTGCCTGGATATTTTTTTTCTTTCTTTTCCTCGCCGACGCCCTCGCCTCCTGCCAGCCGCCCTGCGCCCACTCCCCGCCATCCACACTATTGCTGCACGAAACCGTCGGCCCTACCTAGCCCTTCAGCTGGCGTACGTGTAAACACGGGACGACCGCCAATCACCCGGCCATCTAGACCAGCCCGCCGCTACGCGCACGACGATTACGCACCAGCACGCCGCAGCACATTCACATTTGCATTCACTCGACGCCTCGCCGGCGCCTGCGCCTTTTGCGTGCACACACTGGCCGGCGCCCTGCGTCCGTTGCGCCTTCCTCCCTCCTCCACGGCGACTTCCCGCTGCGACTGCGCCTTCCTTGCCTGCCCTACCCTGCTCCGCCGCCACCGCCGCACCCTGGAACCCAGACCCTAGTCCAAACAGACTTCCCAAAACGACTACCGCCGCACACGACATCCAACGCCCTCCACGTGCAGCCTCGTGCGCATTGCCACCCAGGCTGGGAGCACCACAGTCTCTCCTTAATGTCGCCGCCATAGACTGCTCTTCTCACCCACGCATCCCCCCGAGCCCGAACCCCCCAGTGCACCAGCACTCGGCACCATCCGCCGCAAACCACTCCCGGCCATGGACTCGACCGCACACCTTCTCTATGCCGCCCACCAACTCCACGAGCGTTCTGGCGGCATAGGCGGGAACACAGCCTCTCGCCCGGCCTACTACAAGATTGTTGGGCTCGTCTTGGCCATTTCGTCCGGAGTCTTCATCGGCACGTCGTTTGTCATCAAGAAGCACGGTCTGCTGCAGGCCAACAAAAAGTACAATGAGGAGGCGGGAGAGGGCTACGGATACCTCAAGAACGGCTGGTGGTGGCTTGGCATGATTTTGATGATTGTTGGAGAGATCTGGTACACGCCATTGCCGAGTACGCCGTTCCGACGCTCCGCTAACCCGCGCACAGTAATCTTGTCGCATATGCCTTCACCGACGCTATCCTCGTGACGCCGATGGGTGCACTCACGGTCGTAGTGTGCGCTATATTGTCCACCATCTTCTTGAAGGAGCGCCTCAGTTTTGTAGGAAAAGTAGGCTGCTTCAATTGCATCATCGGCTCCGTCGTCATTGCTGTCAATGCACCGGCTCAGTCGTCTGTTGCGCGCATTCAAGACATGAAGAAATGGGTCCTTACACCGGGCTTTCTCAGTTATGCAGGCGTCATCATCGTCACATGCATTGTAATTGCTGTGTGGCTAGGGCCCAAGTATGGAAAGCGCACCATGATGGTCTACATCACCATCTGCAGTCTGATTGGAGGTCTCAGTGTTGTCGCAACCCAAGGTCTCGGTGCCGCAGTGGTAGCTCAGGCCTCCGGCACGTATGGTGGGCAGTTCAAGGAATGGTTCCTTTATGTGCTGCTAGTATTTGTCGTGGCGACGTTATTGACCGAGATCATCTACCTCAACGTAAGTCGCTCGCCAATTGATCCTTGGACAGTGCTAAGCTTTGCCTAGAAAGCCCTGAATTTGTTCAACGCGGCGTTGGTAACACCAACCTACTACGTCTTCTTTACATCTGCTACCATCATCACCTCGGCTGTCTTGTTCCAAGGTTTCAAAGGCACACCGCTGCAGATTCTCACTGTCGTCATGGGTTTCTTGCAAATCTGTTCGGGAGTGGTCCTTCTGCAACTATCCAAATCAGCCAAAGACGTGCCGGATTCAGCCGTCTTCAAGGGAGACCTCGACCAAGTGCGGACTGTCGCCGAGATGGAAGAGCCAGAATACGAGCCGCGAGCCGATACACTTCGCGGTGGTGCCGCCATTCTCCGATCACTGTCAAAAGCAAGGTCCGACAAGGAGCTTACCGAGGCTCGGAAAATTCAAGAAGAGCATATGCAGCCTATTGGCGAAGGCGAGCAAGTTGAGTTCGACGGTCTGCGTAGACGGAGGACAGTATTCGATCCCAGTCGGCCACCGACACGCAGCACCACGATTGTGCAGACCAAGTCGCTACACCCCCCGCTTGGAATGTCACAATTTCCCACTGACGATTCTGATGACGATAACGACAGTTTCCACCCTGGTTTCTTCCAACGATTGCGCTCGCGGGGCAAGTCAACTAGCAGTCGCGGCAGCTCGCATGCGCCAGGCACCTCAGGTGTGGGCATGCACACATTGCCCGCCATTCCTCAAGCCGATGGTGTCTCTGATCAAGAACCAGACGGCGCATCGTACAAGATCAACATGACTCAAGAAACATCGTACAAACCCCTTGACTCGCACATCCAGTTCGCCTCGCTTCCCGATCCACCCCGCCACGACCGCCACGACCGCCATGACTCGGAATCCTCGTCTCTCGCACCCCCACCACCCGGCGGCCAGCCCGCCAAACGCCAGTTCTCTTTCCAAAACGTCTTTTCGAGAAACCGTACAGACTCCACTGGTGAAGCATCCGGTAGCAGAACGCGACCGACAAGTCGACACAGCCGCAAGAGCAGCCGAGAAATCAAAAGCGGAGGCCCAGGCGGCGCGACGGAAGAAGAAAGACTCGGCCTCGTAAAGGGCGACTCGAGCAATCTCCTGCCCATTATCAGTCGTACCAGCGACGAGGAGGACGATATTGACCGCGATCTTGCTGCCGGCGTGCCCCCCACCTACATCGACGACGACAATTGGCATCTCCCGCGCACTTCTAGCCCCGCCTACTCATTACCGGCCCAGCGAGCACCAATGCAAACGATACCGCCTGTGCGGCGAGCAGACACGGACATGTCTGAGTTTGAGGCGCGACACGCTGAGGCCGACAAGGACATTGAGAAAAGCGGCAGCCGTGGGAATCCCGGGGCGTATCGGTAGAAAGATGAGAGACCTCTTTGATTGATTTGTTCTTGTTTTGTGTGTTGTTTAATTACGAAGCGAAGCTTTTTCGGTTTCCTCTCTCTGTCTATTCTCTCTTGTAGAGCTTTACGCACGGGCTTTTGCATACCGTCTTGTATGCATAGTTGTGTGCCCCGAGCTCCTGGGATATGGACGAGCATGAGCATGAGCATGAGCATATATGTAAACATGCATCTGCATGTGGGATGTCAGCATTGCATTTGAAATTTCCCATCTCCTTTTTCCCCTCCCCCTTTTTTTCTTATTTGGATCTTTGTGCGGCTCCACGTCGCGTCTTGGCATGTACATATATGTATGTACACTGACGCACGCACGCACCGTGGATCACACACACATACACACACGAAAAAGGGGGTTGTCTTTGGGGCGTTCAAGGCAGACTGAAAGAAGGAAAGTGAAATGGGGAATAATAGAGTAAGTGTGTTATGCATGAGTGGGAGTTGTCATCGACACGACGATAATGCGGGGAAACGGGCATTTTATGGTATCGACGTAGATGGCATGGATGCGGTTATATATGTAGATATGTAGCGTGTATGTAGATAGATGAAATGTGAAATGAAATGTCATCTTGTTAATTTGTCAAGCCAGGTACTAGTGCTGTGTTGTTGGGGGTGTTTTTTTCTCAACTTTCTTGTTATTTGTGTGTCTTGTTTTTTTGTAAGGGGGATTGGAGGGGGGGAGGTTGAAGACGAGAGGAGAGGAGAGGAAGGTTGGATATGGCGGGCTGGTTGACGGATACATGGACGGATGGCTTTGACGAGGGTAGAGTGGGTATGTATGGAGCATGTATAATATGATTGGAGAGAAAGGACAAGAAGAACGAGGACGAGATAGAAGGAACCTTTGTGGAATCCGTTGGATGCAATGTATATGATGAGCAAGTAGGATAGAAGATATGTATAACTTCTTAATATAGACGTTTATTTGTTCGCTTAGTACATAGTTCCTTGTATCCAAACTAGTTGTATCAATCATCACCTTACTATTCCAACCGCTACCTTGTGCAGTACCAGAAACCTCGTAAACACCACACCCTACCAGCCTCAAGCGCGTACCCAGTTACTCAACATTCAGAATCTTGTATACATCTCTATCTTCTTATCTCCGCGTATATCCTCTTTACCACCACTCTTTGCTCCACCTCCAAGTTAAAAATAGAAATAAAAACAATTTACGGTTGACAGCAATTCACATAACACGACTTGACACCCTGGCCATCCGTACTACAAGCACCCGGTCTACACACACTGAACAGGCTATCCGACGTGCGGCCTATGCACCAATCCGCGCCAAGCCCATCGCTGCCCGCGCACGTGTCGTACCGCTTCCCAGCGAGACAAGCCTGCGATTCCCGATTGTCAGTTTTAGAAGACGAAGATTAAGTGGAGGGGCTTTTGGGGGGGGGGTGGTTCTGAGACGTACACCGCGCCACGGGCCGCAGGATTTCGTCTGCGAACACAGGGCTGTGACGGCAGATGTGAAGGAGAGGGAGAGGAGGAGTGTGGGGAGTATGGAGCGCATTTTTGATGTCGTTGATGTCGTCCTTGTTGTTATGCAGAGACAGGGGGGGGTATGTAGGTAACATATAAAGATTCTTTAGAGAGAAAAAGAATAAGCGGAATCAAGATCCTCAATCTAAATCCCTAGCAACTAGATATCCAAGTACTTATACGTGTCCCTCCCCCTCCCCACCTAACTCTATAGTTCCATACTAATTCATGCGTAGACGCAAACTATACTAATCACTTACTATACCGATGTAGTAAATGTTATACATGCAAAGCGAAATTAGTACCAAGATATCGATTAGGACTAATCCCATGTACTAGCATCCTTTCTAGACTGAATAGTGGATAGAGAGCTGGTGGATACGAAGGTAAGCTGAGTCAGCTAAGCACAGCCAAGGACGCTAAGCTAGCTTGCTTGGTTTATTCTTTTGGATCATGTTTGTGTGGGGTTGTAGGTGTTTGTGTTGGGTAAGAAGGTTGATTCTATTTAAAAAAGCGGTTGTGTAAAAGTAACTAGAGGGACTTGGGCAATCCTGCTATGTTCTTGATTGTTTTTTGTGTTTGGGGAGATGCTTGGTTATAGGAGATACGTGTTATATTATATTTCTGCCTACTTATTGTTCGTAAGGTATAGTACCTCACCACTGTTGTGTGTCATGTACTCTGCTGTGTGGAAGCCACTACATCGGCACGTAAACTCAATCACAAAATAAACAGTTACTATGTACTATAAAATAGAGGACGCTACAGTGACCAGGACCCAGACTGTTTCATCCAACGCGTCGCATTATCTACAGACAACTACAACTACAACAACCCGAGAATAATAATGGAGTGCCCAGGATACACACCAAAGAGATATATACGATGCAATTAGGAATAAAATTTACAACAACTCGCCCTCTTCGTCGAGTCCCCCCTCTTCGTCCTCTTCCCATTCGACATCAGCAGCCGCCTCGTCAGCGCGCCTCTGGACTTCCTTGAGGCCACTCATTTCCTCGACCCAGCCCTGCTCGTTGAGGGCTTTCTGGACAAAGCCCCAGGGATCCGCCGTGTAGGCATCCAGAACGGTGGTGCTGCAGGCGGAGCAGCAGTCAAAAGGCTTGCCTTCGACCTGGAGATTGGAGAAGTTGGAAAGGTAGCCGCGGATGGTGTGGGGAATTGTGCCGAGGGGGTGTTGGAAGGGGGGTGGGAGAGAGGGGTGAGACGATGCGGGAGCTGGGGTGGAGGCGTTGGCTTGGTGTGAAGGAGGTGGTGCGAGTGCTTTGGAGGGGTGTTGGAGGATGGAGACAAGGAGTTCGACTAGGAGACTGGATGCGAGAGGAGCCACGCCGGGACGTGTGACGGTGCATTGTTGGTCGAGAGTTGCGTTGCTTAGCGACTGTGTGCGATTAGCTACGTGTCGTTTGAATTGATACGCCATCACTCACATCTGCTGGGGCGACGACGTCGTTGCAAAAGTAACATCCTAGCTCTACTTGGTCCTCTTTTTCCGCCTTCAGGCCGTGCCGCATGACAACATAGGTGTCGAAGCCCAGCGCCGCATTGAGCACAATCTTGCCTTGTGCCTTGCCCATGACGGTCGGCAGCCATCTGCTTTCTCGTGTGTCCATGAGTAGGAATATGGCATCATGTTCAGCAATGAGCGCCTGTAGTTTTCCGAATTCATTATTCGTCTTTTCGGTGTCTGTAATCGGGTGGCCGAGCATGGGGACCTCCATGACATGCCCTTGCGCTTCTACGCCTGGGTAGATCTCTTGCAGAGCCTCGGCAGCCCTCTCGGCCTTCTTTGCCCCGCCCTGTAGACAGTCTTTGAAGTTGAAGAGTGGTTGCCGAACTGGATTTGAGAAGCTGACGGTTGCATTGTCGATGAAAGAAATTTTCCTGACGCCCCATCCCATCAGTGTGCGGGAGACATATGTGCCAAGTGTGCCCGCTCCGAGCAACAAGCACTTGCAGTTCTTGATGACTTCCAAGTCGATTGTCGGCGCGATGCGCCACTTGATGAGCTTGAGATTGAGGTCGACGGCCTGGTCTGCCAACTTTGTCTCATCCATGTACTCGGACAGGTCGACGTTGCGGGAAGTCAGCTTTCCTGTTTCTGTCCGCTCCCAACCTGTGACTTTGGGTAGCGGAGGGGTGTGCGGGCTGGAAGTCGGCCGCTCTAGCATGGGTGATGTAGGCGCAGTAGAGTCGGGTTCAGAGCGCAGTTGCAGGATCAACGAGTTGGACTGATCACGCCGGGTATGTGTATCTCGATAGCATAGAATCTGTGCATCATGCAGGTTCCATCGGTGCCGTATGAGGATGAGGAGATTACGAAGCGGCCATCCTGGGTTTGTCTCGTACGTCGAGGGGTCTGCGAAACATATGAAGCGGTCCTGGCTGTCCACCTTGTCGAAGAAGCCCTTTTCATAAGCATCGAGCCTGCCAACCCCCCATGTGTAGCCAAACTCCTCCAAGGGTGTGACTGGCGTCTTTGGCCTGTCTTCGCCGTCGCCGCCTCCGCGGATGCGCTTGGCGAGGAAGAAGCCTCTTTGGCGCACGTCGGAACTATATCGCCATGTCTGTACCGCGTCGACTAGATACGTCGTCTCTCGCGCGCGTAGCCTCGTGACGTCGCCTACTTGCTTCCACGGTGGATCTGACTGAATGGCAGGGAAGCCAAAGTGGTAGGTGAACTTGTACTTTTTGAGATTGGCGAAGATGATGGCGGTAAAGGAGGAGAGGAGCGAGGGACACTCGTAAATAGAGCCGTCATGAATGGCGTCCCAGATCTGGATGCAGTCAGGAGGCAGGTCCGCTGGTGGGCGTGGGCAAGCATACCGTCTGGGCGCAGCGGTCGAGGATGGCGGCGCGGTCAAGGCTCTTGTAATCCTCTATGGTATTGCAATTCTTGATGATGCCCTCGGCACGGCAAAACGTCGGGGGCGTGCTGCAGTGGTGTCAGGCCCAGTCTCGCCGGCATGCAGGCGGAGCGGCATACTCATCCGACGTCAGTGCATTTGGGTGTATCTGGATGCGCATGGAGCGCGAGGAGTGCTCGCCCGGGCGGACCTCGTACAGGCCGAGCACCTTGCGGGCCGAGTCGTCGAGCTTGTCATGGTTGATCTTGATGTGGGCCAGGGCGGCGTAGAACTGGACGTCGACGTCGCTCATCCAGGGCGCAAACTTGAGCGTGGCCATGGCGGGCAGCGGTAGTGGAAGTGGTAGTGGTGATGGGAGGCGCCGCGAAGAGGTACATGCAGCGAATGTCTATGGCGTGGAGCACGTCACATGTCAAGGGCGCATGATGGAGGCCTTGTGCTGGTGGGCGGGTGAGTGAGTGCAAGTGGGTGGATGACTGATGAGGCTCGCCCGTGCCCCGCCATGTCATGCCGTCAGCCCTCGAGGCGGGGCAGCGCTAGGCAGGACGCGTTCCCGCAGCCGCACACACGCGCACGCGTTATTGGCGGGCACATGCTGGCCAGGCAGACAGGCAGCCAGCCAGGCAGCGATACACCGACTCTTGACATCATCCCAGCATCCATCACCAGCACCACCAGCTGCCCATCCCACACCACCATCGAGCCGCCATGCTGATTGGAGTATGCGGAGGCAAGACCCTCGCGAGACACGCCCGCCCATTGCTGACACGCCCCAGGAATATGCGCGGGCAAGTCCGAGATAGCTTCGTGCCTCATTGACGAGTACAGCTTCACCCGCCTGCGGCTGGCTGGCCCCGCCGTGGCGCCCCATATCGACAAACTGCTTTCCAGAGAGGCTGGCGTGGATGCGGAACATACGTTCGACAACGTCGAGTCGCTGCTCGACTTTGTGACGCTGCGGTGGCGAGAGCGGTGGGTGACGACCGACATATGGGACGCCGCCGTGGTCGATGCTCTGCTCAAGAGGCCGTTCTTCCTACTTGTCAGCGTAGATGCTCCTGTCCAGGTGCGGTGGCAGCGGTACCACAGCCGATGTATAGCCAACCAGATTGCCCCGCCCACGATCCTCGACTTTGTGCAGCAAAACGACCAGCACCAGTTTGCTCCAAAGACGGGCCTCAGCGGGCTTTCATATCGCGCACAACTCAATCTGCTCAACTCAACCACATCAGTAGCATCCTTGCGCGCGGCGATACGTGCTCTCAACCTTACCGATGAGGCCCGCCTCCGCCCGAGCTGGGACCATTATTTCATGGAACTGGCCGATCTAGCCGCCCTGCGGAGTAACTGCATGAAGAGGAGAGTGGGCTGCTGCATCGTCCGAGAGAAGCGTGTTATCAGCACGGGGTATAACGGCACACCCCGTGGCATGACAAATTGCAACGAGGGCGGCTGTATGTGCAATTCTCTCTCTGTCACCACGGTTGTGGAATCAAGTGCTGAAAAGGAGTTTTAGGCCCTCGCTGCAACAGCGCCGCCAAAGGAGGCGCCGCCCTCTCGACCTGTCTCTGTCTGCATGCCGAAGAAAACGCCCTGCTCGAAGCTGGCCGCGACCGCATCGGGGGCAACGCAATTCTCTACTGCAACACGTGTCCTTGCCTGACGTGCAGCGTCAAGATCACGCAGGTAGGCATAACAGAAGTGGTGTACAATCAGGGCTACCTGGTCGACGACCAAACAGCAAAGATTTTTGACGAGGGCGGCGTCAAGCTGCGTCAGTTCTCTCCACCCACTGGCGGTTTGGTCGACCTTGGCATAGATGTGTAGATTGAGGGACGGGGCGGCGTCAAGGGGTCATGGAGAGAGTTCAGTACAGTAATCATGGCCTTGGCGAGCCACTGCGCACCCTGTGATCAGCAAACGGCTGGCATTGTTCATCTCCACAAAGCTCACACCTACACCTTGTCGTGCAGATCGCCATGCTCACCTACTACACCCAGCGCTTGCCTGACTGGCGTGCTGACGGAGCTGTGTTTGTTTCCTGCTGAATGTCTTGTGATGGTGGGTTACCGGGACAGCATGAGGTTGGCGTGGGCACTAAGTACGTCACCGCCACACGCGCCTCTCACGCGCCACACAGCCTTCGTTGTGCTCATGGACACACGACAAGCTCTGCATTCTTGCAGCCACCACCACACTCGACGGACCCATGCGAGCTACCTGCAGTTCAGGCGGGCTGATGTCCGGCAATATCGACTTGTTTTCCAATAACCTTTAGCCGTGCTTACATAGGCCAAATCACCGTCACCGGCCCGTCTAGCCCATGCCCGCCCGCCCTGCGAGTCGGGTCCGGGACCTATATATGTATACACACAGTCCAGCGGCACACGGCGAGGATCCTCCCGTGCCACAGGCAAACCGGCACAAAGATACCAAGCAGATTCAGGAATCGGCCGCAATGCCATTGGATGCTGTCAGCGAAGGCTTTGGCTGTGCAGTGTTGGTGCCGAGCCCTGATGCCATGCAGCCAATCAAGACAAGCCTTATCAAACTCTGTATCATCATTAAACTCAAAATTTATGATACGAGGCGACTACAGTGCGGACCGGCAACAGGCAGCATGGGTAATGAGTGAGTGGTGTGTTGCTTGAACATGGATGGTACAGTAGCAGAGCGCTCGCGTGCCGAAAGTCAACTCAACTCAACAACACCTAGGTGTACAGCAGAAAAGTCGCTCATGGCCAGGCTAGCGTCACGAGACAACCACCAGCCAGGTGCCTATCTACTAGCACACCCACACCCGGCGCGCCAACGGCTTTGGCGTGCCTGGTTGTTGCGCATGCATCTGCTGACAAGCTCGCCCAAGCATTCACAAGCATTCCTTCTCCAGCCACGCACAGGCCGCTTAGCCGTATCACTCCCCCCACACACGCGGCCTGCGTCCTTCACAACGCACTACTACTAGGCACGTCCTATCGGGGGGATGGCGCAGTGGTGGAGCGCCTGGAAAATTTTCTGCTGTCTCACGTCAGCAAAGATCGAAGGTTCGAATCCTTCTCCCCTCACAACCATATTTATGGTCCACCCACATGAGAGAGTTACTCATTAAACTACCTATTCGACTGAGAGAGTTACTCGTTAAAACTTGAGAGGAAGACTCATTTAAAGTGAAAGATCTGAGAGAGTTACTCACTAAAAAAACTACTAGGCTACGAGCCTCACCTTCATTTAGATAACCC